TGCCTCTGCCCTGAGTCAAGCTTTATTGAAAGCAGAGGATGGGGATTGGAGCAACATGGTCTAGTGGAAGGTGTCCCTGCCCAAGGCAGGAGGTGGAATGGGATGGGCTTTAAGGTCCCTTCCAAGCCAAACCGGTCTGGGATTCTAAATAAAGGTGCAGTCAATCATTTTGTGGTCACAGTCCATTGTTTTCAGACAGCTCTGAGCCTCTTCCTTGTCTCCTCCTCTTTTCACACAGACATCCTATATTGGCAGTATTTTATAAACAACCCCTGTAAAGCAAGGGCAGCTCTTTTCTTCTCCCCTCTGGTTGAAGTTCAGGATCTGTTGTCAAAGGAAAGATTTAATCAATAAGCTCTGACAGAGGCTCTGCCTCTCCTTAGGTCGGTCTGTGCTGTAGCCATGGGTTGTTTGCAGGCTGTGCCTTACGAGGGAGAATCCAAGGAAACATCAGGATGATGTTGGCATCTTACATGGAGCACGTGGGGTTAGACTCAATACTGTTTGCTTGCAAATGCAGCAAGGGACATAATTTGGGGGAAAAATTAATGATCTTGTTATCAGTATTTAATCAGCAGTGCCAGGTAGGAGAAGAGGTGATAGTGGCTTTGGGAAGATGATGTTTGCATGGCTTTTGGAGACCAGACCCCACAGTTCTGGAATGCTGCTAGAGGAGTTCCAGGATGTGGAAGGTGTTCTAGCATCCCTTCTGCTGCTGTTTTCGCAGAGCTGGCTTCCTTGCCCTGCTAAAACAGCATCTTCTGCAGTGTTTCCATGTCTGAGGGGTCTGAAAGGCCGAGCAGGTCTCTCCAGACTGGGACTAAACCTCAAAGCACAGCCCTGTGTGTAGTAGGAGCACGACTTACACTGTGTTTTGAGTCAGCAGGCACTGGGGCTTGTTTAGCTGAGGTTGTCAGTGATCTGTGAGCTGGCTGCAGTGATCTGTGAGCTGGCTGCAGTGCCAGGGGTGTTGGTGGTGTGTCGGTGGGGGAGGAAGCTGGGTCATCCATAGTTTGTGGTCCTGGAGCAGCTGGGCTGACTCAGCTTGGAACAATCCTGAAATGTCACCCTTAGGCTGAGATTTTTATCTCTGCTGAAGCACCTTGGCTCAATTTTAAGCTCTAGAAAAATTGTAAATAAAGTTCTATCATAACTGTAATTACTGGTTGCTGCACATCTGTACTTGTGATGAGCAGAGAGGCACATCTGGAACAGGCTGGAAAGAGGAAGGGGAATATTCATACTGTCAAAGAATCGGAATGTTAAGGGGTTGGAATGGACCTGAAAGAAAACTGGAGGACTGCTGACATTTCCTAGGTCACCTGTATTTTGTCTCTTAACGGGTTCTAGGTGCCTGGTGTGGGGAAAAAGTGCTTTTGGAAAGTATGTGGAGGGAATAGTGTCGTAGTGAGTTGTGGAGCTGTGTTGTGTGTGTGGTTTTGGGGGCCAAGCCTGGTCCTGAAGCTGGAGAAGAGGAAAGTGAGGGACCTCCTGTTTTAGGGAGGTGCTAATCAGTGTTGTGTTCGGAGCCATGTGCCTTTTCCCCATCCCTATCCACGTTATTCCTGCCCACCTGTGTTTAGGTGGTTTGTTGCCACAGGTGATGACCCAGCCTGTTGGTGAATTTGCCACTGTTTTCTTCCCAGCTTCTGGAAGAAGCAGAGGGAGTCTCATGGAAGTATTTTAAGCCAGTACATCCAGCCCGTGTGGTTTCTGGGAGCGTGTGCTCTCAGGTGCTCCCTGGCAGAAGTAGGCTCAGATAAACAGGCACTAAGTGGTTCCTTGTGCTCCTGTTTCCGAGGTTTTTTTATTTTTAAAAATCCAGCAGGGCCCAGACTCTGAAATATTCTCCTGCTTGATCATCCCAGCCCTGTGTGCTACAGCTGGTTCAATGAGTGTGTTTTACACCCCTGCCTGTCTCAGCCTGCCCTTGGTTCCGCTCGGCCTTTCTGCCCCAGAGTCCCGACACACGCAGTGCCCTCCCCTGGATGCTCTCCCGAGCCCTTCCTGTGCTCTGTGCCTGGGGAAGGACTCCATGGGAAGGGCCAAAGCTGTCACTATGTGCCAGTGCTTGTTGTCTGCCAAGGCCATCCACGTAGGATCCCGGGAGGCAGCGGGATGAGCGCCGTGGCAGCAGTTCTCTGTCTGCCTCCTGGAGCCCGAGGTGCCCCCAGCCGCCCCCATCAAACAGGGGTGTGACCCTTCTGCCCAACCCTGTTGGTTCTGAGGTTCCTCCCGAGAGGCTCGTGCTGCTCTGAGCACACCCATGCCCGTCCCATCCTGTCTGGTGGCCCTGACCCAGTCCTTGCCTCAGGAGCCCGCAGGGAATGTGCCTCTGGAATGATGCTCAGGGTGGATGGACACTCTGTTCTTCTGTGCAGGCCAGAGGTGATTGCCCCGGTCCTGGAAGGCACTGGAGTAGAAGTTGAACAAACTCCGGTTTGTTTTTCTTTTTAATCTTATTTTATTTCTTTATTTTTTTTAAAATGAGATAATCTCCTTGGAAAACCCTCTGGACCTGCAGATATCCGAGGCATTGGGTTACACAGCGTTTTGCTTCTCCTGATGTAAGAAGTGTTTTCACTGAGACAGTGGCAAAGTGATGAGCTGGCATAAGAATTGTTGCAGGTGGGGCCCGATGGTCTCTTTGGAAATGCCTCATTGGTCTGCATCGAGATCAGAGCAAGGGGTAACCAAAAATTAGGGTTTGAGGGGGAGATAAGTTGGGCCCTGAGTGCTGTCTGTGTCCTGGAAAGAATCACGGAATCACAGAGTGGTTGGGTTGGAAGGGATCTTAAAGTTCATCCAGTCCCACCCCTTCCCACACCTCCAACTACACCTGGTTGCTCCAAGCCCTGTCCAGCCTGGCCTTGGACACTTCCAGGGATGGGGCAGAAGTAGGAACAGGTAAACTGGTGGTGCTGTCAAATGGATTTGGTGCCACTGTTTCAGTCCAATTTCCTTGGGAAATGAATCTGCCTCTTCCCACTGTTCATGCTCACATTTTCATCCTTGTGCTGTGAAAATGAGGAGGCAAATCTGGTGACACCATTGCAAATCCTTCTTGTCTACAGCTGAGATTGCTTCTGCTCTCCCAGTACCTGCTGGTCTGACTGGAAATAAATCATGGTAATGTCTTGCAAATGCCTGGTCTAAGCTGACCTGACTGTGCAACAGGACGTGCGGATTAATGGAACTGGAAGATCTTGAACATTTGGGATGGCAGAGGCTTGCAGGGATTAGAAATGACATTTAAGTGATTTTCTCTTGAATTTGACTCATAACATGAAGGCACGTTCCAGGTCCCTCAGAATGCAAGATGGAGCTTGGAGAGTGTAATGCTGAGACACTTGGGCTGGAGAGAAACAGCCAATTAAAGAGGGTTTTTAATGAAGTACAGCAAGGAAGGCCTTGTGTTCTGCAGCATCTGCCGGGGCATTATTCTGCACATCAGGGAAGGAACCTTGGGAAGCCCATCCTAAGCAATGTGGTGATTGGACGTGGTTTTGGTGCCTTCTTGAAAAGGAGCACACAAGTCTGGGTGTGATAGGAGCTCTTCCAAGAATAGATGGCACTGCTTGGAATGCAAGGGCACAGCTAAACTCTGGGCAGCTGCTCATTGTGCAAGGCAGGAGGAGTTCCCATCCCGGTGATCCCAGTGCTGCTGGAGGGCACCACTCCTTGGGATGTGCTGCTGGAGCAGTTTGGGGTGAGCAGAGTCAGCTGGATCCCTTGGGATGGGTTAAGGAGCTGGGTGCTGCCAGGGGTGACCTCATCCCTGTGGTGGGCTGGGGAGCACTGGGTGTAAACTGGTGATGCTGGGTGATGCCTGGTCAGGGCAGGAGGAGCCTCCTCTGGGTGCTGCCTGTTCACACCTTATCCCTGTATCCAGGAGAGGTGGGAGCCTCTGTGCTGAGGGATTTTTGGGTGCAAAGAAGGGAAATAACCCTTGTTGTCACATACTGTGCACGAAGGACACGGTGAGTTCAATCTGTTTGTTGGCTGGGAGGGACCAGTGGCAGGTGTGGTAGACCAGAGCAGAATCCCTGGGAAACCCCGCCTGGAAAACAGGGATGTTCGAGAATCACAGAATCCCAGACAGAGCAGAATCCCTGAGATACCCGCCTGGAAAACAGGGATGCTCAGGGATCATGAAATCCCACAAGGGTTTGGGTTGGGAGTGACCTTAAAGCCCACCCACCTTCCGTAGTCCACGCTGCTCCAAGCTCTGTCCAACCTGGCCTTGGACACTTCCAGGGATGGGCAGTACTGGATGTCACTTGGTGTAGTGCCAGAAAACCCCTGAGTGCCCCCAAAGTGAACGTCAGTCTGGGTTTATATTTTTGGGGGGCAGGGGTACATAAGGTTGCTGACTCTGTGGGTGCTTTTCCTCTCTTCTCCCTCCTTCTCTCTAATACACAGCTTAAAAATAATTAGGAATGGTGGATTTCCCCCCCCCCCTGGGGCAGGATGAAGTTGCTGCTTAGTAATCTGCTGGAGGCTTGGGTAGAGTGGGAGTGGAATTGATTGTGTGGGTTTTTTTCCTTCCTGCTCCAAGACCACTTCTTGGCACCGAGGGATTTTTCTTTCGGCTTCTTTGGGGAACAGATGCATGAAGCACAGTTACCACTCATACATATGGCTTTTAAAATATGGAAGCTGTTGGACTGAAGTGGCTTCATATGGTGCTGTTGGAGGATGAGAATTAACACGGAAGTTTGGGTTTTTAAGACTTGAATGTTGAAAAGTTGGGTTTTGAATTGTTGGGGTTTTTTATTTTGTTTTGTTTTTTTTTAAATAATGTTAAATGCCAGTCTGCATTTTCCCTGATTATTGATCAAAATAACATTTATAACTCTGAAAATTACTCTTTCTGCAGCCTTTAATGACTAAAATAGTATTGGAGTTTAATCTAGGGGATAAATAAGTTATACAATGTGTAATTTAAATGGTTGTTAATCTTAATTTGCTAACATAGACATCTTTTTCTTTAATTGCAGGTTCCCATTTTAAAAGCCATTAGAAGATATTCTGCCACCCTCTTGGATTACTTCCCATACAACTCAGCATGTCACTGTGCCCTGGATTTTATAAGGTGGCCATGATTTAATCCCCACTTCCAATTCCTATGTATTGGTGAAGCTTTGGAGCTCTTTTGAGCTGCTCTTACTCCGTGGAACTGATCTCGAGTCCCTTCTCCCAAGGACTAGACACTACCAGCAATGAGCTCCCAAAGCCATCCAGGTAAGGGCAACACCACCTGGAATTCCAGCCACCACCCCAAAACACACGGTATTTGCTGCACCAACGGACCTTTTGTGGTGTTGAAATGATAATCCAGCCCCTCTCCCTGTTCTTCTGCTTGGTTTAGAACTAAAACTTTGTGTGAAGGTGGAAAATGCTGTTGCTGTTACCAGAGTTACAAGGAAATCTTACCATTTCGGGTTTCTAATTGCTCTAAAATTTAGGTTTCTAATTGTGGCATCACTGGAAGCTGTTGGAGTTTTTCTGAGTCATTAACCAGATGTTTAATTTGTTAAATCTATGCTGATGAGCCTTCAGGATATGGAACGTACCTGTAAGGAATGGGCACGGTCCTGCTGGTGTCTTTACTGAAATTTAAGAAAACTCTTTGACTTTTAAAGTACTTTTTAATAGGAAAGAATAGTTTTGCTGGAACAGGAGTCAGTTGATCCACCTCACTGTTGTCTGGGGGATTGTCTCTAACGTGTCTTGTAATTTAAGACCCGATTCATCACTACAAAATTGGGCATTTCTGTCTGTCAGGAGGATCTGTAGCTACTCAGTTACCTGCTCTTGAGCTTAGAGGTGCCTCATACATTTGTATTTAGTGAGTTTTGGGTAACTTTGTGTTAGTTAGGCAGAGCTTTGTGAACTTTGGGAGAGGAATTTTAATTATCCTTTGGCTGTGTCAGTTTATGGTACAAAAAATGGCTGCTGGGAATCAAGTAATCCAACAACAACCAGGCACGTGGAAGGACTTATTTAACTCTGCCTCCGAGAGATTACTTCGTGACTTCATTTTAATCAGGTTTGGGTTAAGAGTTAAATAAGACTGAAGTGTTAGAAGCCAGCAAACAGCTCCTAAGACTTAAGGAACTGCTAATTTGTGGGCAAACAAATCCTGCAATAAATAAGGATGCTGGAGCTCCCAAGCAGCAGTGTTAAATCTCACACTCTCCTAGCAACTGGAACGAGTTTCTAAGTCTCTGAAATGATCAGTGTTATCAAAAAAGAAAAAACAAAAGTCTGGCCTCTCCTTCCATTATGTAGATTTCGAAACTATGAGGAGTTGGGAAACTTAAGTATACCTGGGACACCTCTTGCAAAGTGATGTTTTTCAAGAGATCTGTTCTTCAGAGAATGGATAATTGTTAGTTCAGTATTTTCCTGTCTCACTTCGGGGTGAGACTGGGGAGCCGTGGCCACCTGCTCTTGTTGTGGTGGGATACCTTAAATACCTCCCTGTATTCCAAACCCAGCCATGGATATTGCTTTGCTTCTTAGGGAGCAGCCCTCCAGATATCCAGGAAGTGGTGCTGACCTTCCTGGTTGGGTTGTGTTGATGGAACCCTGCTGCTGATTTCTCTTGCTTTCCTTTATAATTCGTCACCTGCCTCTTTTTTGTCCTGACTCTGCTGGTTCTGCTGCTCTGGCTCAGTGTGTCTGGAACACTAAAAGTCAGTTTGAGTTTCCTTTTTCTAACAACCATGTCTACAATGGGATGTGGCAGCCCAGCAGGATTGCTTTGGACACCCTGTGTTCCCCTGGGTGCTGGATTCTTACTTTGGGTTGAAGTTCTCCAGTTCATCATGGTGGTTTTTCCCCCCTGCCCGGTGTTCTTAGGGCTCATTTCTCTTTTAAGAGTCAGTTTTATAACAAGGAGCAGAAATATTTCCCAGCCCTTGCCAGAGATGACATCTGGACTTCTTATGTCAGTTGTGATAGGGGTGTTGATTATGCAGCTCGAGGTAATTATTCCTAATGATGTGCATTGTTTAAGGGATGGCTCTGGCTTAACTCGAGAGCCTATTAAACCTTGCTTCAGTGGGTACAAGCTTTCTTCTCTAATCTTCTCCAAACCCAGCACTAATGGGATGTTTTAGGAACAGTGCCATAAAGTTGTTGCAGGGTAGATGAATGAAAGTGGTTTGGGGGTCTCTTTCCTGTGCTTTTTCTTTATTGTCCTTTCACTCCTGTGAGAAGTGTTGGGCGCTGAGGGCTTCTCACGGAACAGGGTGAAGAGATATGGAGAAAACTAAGTTGGGGGAGAAAAGTGTGACTTCTTCCCCCATCACTGCCCCTTTTGTTGTGTTTTGGAGTGAGATTTCTCAGAGAACAAGGAGCAGCTTTTGGAGAAGCCGAATACCCAGGTGGGAAAAGTTAATCCTCAAGAACTTCGATGGGTGAATCAGTCTGAGCCCTGCGCACAGAGTGAAGACCTTGAGCTCTGTTTCCTGGGCTTGAAGGCTCTTTCCATGGTGTCCTTCTTGAAATCTGGGTTAAGACCAGCAGCTCTTGTGAGCTGAACTTGCCACAGAAACACGTGTGGAGCAGGAGAAGCTGGTGGGGTGCTGGTGTCCCTCTCGCTGCAGGCACAGTCAGCTCCCGGCAGGTGTCAGGGAGGTTTTGGAGATTCCTGGGCAGGAATGGGAGTTGCTTTGGGTGGGAAAGGGGCTGAAACTGGAGAGTGAGGTGACAGGAGGATGGGCTTTTCCCTGTGCTGTGCAGACCCAGCCAAGACCGAGCTCAGAGGCATCACGTGCTCTTTGGCTTTTGGCAGAGGAGCCGCCGCCTCTTCCAGTGCTGGAACAAAGCTGGAAAAAAACCGCGGAAATTCTGCTCCGAAAGCTCAAGTTGCTGCAAAGTATAATTAAGAAAATTAGGCTAATTAAGATAACATTTAGGATTATGACAAAGCTTGGAGGGGCAGGGGAAAGTGTGTTTAGTTTCACTCCTTAACCTGTTGGCCACGATTTAAACTTGCCTTATGTAACCCGTGGTGCTGATGGTGCTCACCTTACCCAGGCTCACTGGGCTGTGAGTATGTGGGGGGTTTTTTATAGGTTTTTCTTTTTTTGTACTTTGAGGTTTTTTCCTCTCTCATTGACCTTAAATGATTCCTTGCAGTCTCCTTCTCCCTCCCCTCTTAATTTTCAGTGGCTTGAGTTTCGCTCTCATTCGCTTCTTTAATCAGTAAAGATTGTTCTGCTGATACTGGTTATACATAAAGATTAGTTTTAAAAAACCAAAACACTTAAAGTTAATCACTCAACTGATTTGTATTTGTTTAAAGTTCACTTTCCTTTGTAAAAGCTGCAGATCTCCCTGTTCAATGGAGCATTTTGTGTATGAAATGTTATCTTGCAGGAATTAGCCAGTCTGAATGCAAATGCTCCATCCTTTTTTTCCGGAGCCACTCTTGCAGAGATGCAAATTTCAGCTACATTTTGCAGTGCTGAATGTTTGATAATTAGGAATATTGAAGTTTGAAGAACGTGCTTGCCTGGCTGGTAGGGGAAAAATCTGCAGGGGGATCATTAAGACTGAGAGGAGACACCGGGAAAGCTTCGTGTGATCACACAGCGCTGGGAAAACGAGTCGGGGAGTCACGTGCTGTGATTTGCTGGGCTGATAAGGACTTTTGTACAGGGTTTTATCTGCACAAAGCCACTCTCCTTTCATATTCCACTGCTCAACGAGGCATGGAAAGCCATTTCATGCAGCACACAGAAGAGCTTTCCCCCGTGAGCGTCTCCAGCGTTTTGCACCGTGCAATAAATATTTGATGGGTTCTCTTTTGAAAGATTAAGAAGTTTCTGTGGAGATGCATTTCAAAGCGGCTTTAAATGACACTGACCTACTTTCTGGCAGTAATGGGTCTGTCTGTGTAAGTTATCTGGGGGCAAGAGTGTTCTTTCAATAAACAGAAGGACTGGGGCGGTAAATTCCAGCCCTCCTTTGGCAGGTACTTGGTGGCTGTGCTCTGGAACAACACCTGGATGTGGCGTATCATGGAATCATAGAAGGGTTTGGGTTGGAAGGGAACTTAAAACTCATCTCATTCCACCCCCTGCCACGGGCAGGGACACCTTCCACTAGCCCAGGGTGCTCCAAGCCCTGTCCAACCTGGCCTTGGACACTTCCAGGGATTCCTGCTTCTCCCCACCAGTCTGATGCTGTGGGTCATTGCTGCTGGATAATTCTAGGCTTGGGCATTCAGGTTCCTGTTTACAAGTAAGTCATTGCTATGGTGACTGCAGGTCCAGTCTTCTTCTCTCTGGTGCTTTCTTTAATTGGAAATACAAAGATGTCTCCAGACCTGTCCTCTTCCCACATCGCCACATCTCTGCTTCATGGGAAGCTGAAGTTTTAGGGAAAAGTTCAACTGCTTGGCAGGCCCAGCAGAGGTAACAGGATGGTTGTCGATTCCCCATCCCTGGAAGTGTCCAAGGCCAGGTTGGACGGGGCTTGGAGCAACCTGGGCTAGTGGAAGGCCTCCCTGCCCATGGCAGGGGATGACACTGGATGAGCTTTAAAGTCCTTTCCAACCCAAACCAGTGGGATTCTGTGAAATAAATGCTTTGCACTTATTGATTAAAACTTTGAGGTTGGCTGTGGAGTAAAACTCAGCAACAAGCTCTGGCAGAAGAGCTGCAAACCTGTGCGGGTGGGAACTGGCCGTGTCTCCATCCGCTCCTCTTTCTTCAACCCACGGCAGGACACCTACTCCACCTGCATTCCAGTCCTTCCGTACGTGGGAGCTGAGCCTGTCCTGGATTTCCTCCAGGAACAGTGTCATTTTAAGGACCTTGAAAGTTTTAAGTCTGCTCCCATGAAACCTGTGAAGTTTTTGCTTTCTGGAGCATCAAATAGTTGGGACTTTCTGTACAAGGGTTTTATTGTACCCTCAAAAGAGAAGAATTGTTTTGTGCTTCAACTTGGGGTTCAAGTTGAAGTTCCTGCTAGGTCAGTGTCCCTGCCAAGTACGTTCCTCTCATTTCTGCCTTTTCTTTAAATGCAGTTCTTGCACTTAGGAATTCTTTAAAAGCCTGTTTCTAAGGGAAGTTTTTCAGCCTGTGATGTGTCCTGCAGTGCAAAGATGAGAAGCAGGTACTTGTGATGAGAGGCAGAGAACTCTGGATTATTTTGAATGAGGTACAGGGTAGGTAAAGGATATAAAAAAGGTCATACTTTTAAAGTCAGGTGATTCTATAATAATG